CACCATATCCCACAATTTAATTATCTATTATTTTAGCAGATACCTTGCCTGCCCCAAGATCACCGTGCGTTCATCTAGGCCGCTGGCTGTAGCTCTTGGGGACGTTAAGTGGAGGACCTTCTACATGAGAAGGCAGTATTCTCTACACCAAGCTGCAGCCTCATGAGATATTGCCATCTTGTTTCAGAAAGTCTCATTCATCTTCACTATTAAGGATATTTTTTTAAAAAAAAGTTCACTTTGTGAGAGTTAGTCCTACCATAACTGAATCCCAGAAGATTTATTTTGGAGGATTCTTCACTCAGCGATCCCATCAACTGCTATCTTGCAACTGTTGTGAAAGAACATCTTTGTGCTGTGCCATTTTTAGTTCAGTCCTATTTTTTAAAAAACAACAACAACAAAGCATTTCTTTTTTATGCTATGAATTCCCTGCCTCCAAGAGACTCCCCGAAGATTGCGTAGGAGCTGCCTTTTTAAAGCCACCTCATTAACTCCCCTCCACCCCGCAATCCTCCCCTTTGAGCTCCCAGGTCCAAGTCGTTGCTGGAAAGACAAATGCTTTCTGACGGGATGGGAATTTGCATCCAGGTTGCTAGGCAACCGGTTGTGGTACTGCAGCCTCCTGAATCAAGAACTCCCTGCGTCAACCTGATTTTCCTGGCAGGATTCCACCATCTGTGGTTAGTGGCAGGCTGTAATTTAAGAGGTAGTATGGAGCTTTTAATAGTCCAATACTAAACATGTTTATGCAAAAGAGGTCTGCTGAGCTCAACAGCCAGGGAAATAAGATGGCTTACCAAAATAGAAAATCCAGTCTTCCCAAGAACACCTGATCTGAAGTGATGCTACCTTAATGTATTATGCAAAGTCCTTGGCTTTCTTACCTGTGGTTTATTGAAAAACTATAACACACAGGCTCACATTACATAACGTAGTTATAAGTGGTTTCTCTGATTTAGGGTTGATGCAGCACATGAATGCAAACCAAGCCGCACGTGCATGCAGAGACAACCATTGGGGCTGTGAACCGTAGGTGGCTAAAGTAGGTGACTATTGCTACGATATGTGTAACATCCCTGTAGAGTTCAGGTAGCAGAGACCAGTGGGAGCTGCCCAGAGTGCTGATCCTTGCTGGAAAAGGTCTCTCTCCATCTGAAAGGGAAACCCCGGGTTGCCCATCCTGTACTAAGCCACAAGATGATGCGTTAACGGCATAACAGAGTCGGAAGGAACCTTGGGGTCTTCTAGTCCAATCCCCCCACTGGAGCAGGAGAGCCTGTACCATTCAGGACAACCAGCTGTGCAGTCTCTTCTTCAAAGCCTCCGGCGGTGGAGCACACAACTTCTGGAGGGAAGTCACAGGGCCAAAGCTCACGGATTTATTCAGTACACCCAGGATTATTATTTTTTTTTAAACTCTCCTCAGCTCGTTCCTTATTTTGTTGAGCAGCAACCCAAAACCCACTGAAACGGGAGCCACACCCATTTTTCAAGCCACAGTGCTGTGGGACTTGAGAAAAAGAGAAGTCATTCTGTGGATCAGAGCAAATATTTCTCTAGTGCTGTGTGACCCAGACAAAGAGGCTGGACTGCATCAATTCCTTTCCCAGCAGTTTCATTGACTGTTTGTTCGCAGCTGATAAACAATGGAGAAAAGGGCCCATAGAAGCTGGACACAATGAAGAATGCCACAGAGGGGGGGGGGGTGTTGTTGGTTCTTTAACCATACAGAAGCAAATTAACTTTTGCTTCTGGGTGAGTCAGATAGGAGAACTTACTCCCCAACACCTGCAAAATATAATCAGGATGGCCCAACCAAGAAATAAAAGGGGTTTTTTGCCCCTCAGAAACTATGTTTAATTTGAGCACCGGGAGAGCAATGCAAATTCTGATTCTCTGAAAGACCTTACCGTTGCTATCTTTGCACCCTGAGTACTCCCTACATCCAGAGGTTGTGGTCAATATCAACTACGACTAGAGAAAAGAACAGGTGCGTTGCAGGAGTATTGGTGCTTCTCCATCTTGGCTAGAAGCTTGAAGAAGGATGGACTTCAACTCCCAGAATTCCCCAGCCCGCATAGCTGGGATTTGAAGCCCGCCCGTCTTCAAGCTTGCCAAGGTTGAGAAACGCTCCCTTCGCCCAAGGTTTCCCTGGATCGATGGGGTCGGGGGTCATTCATTTTGCCTTTATTCAAGGCTTCCCCCGAATCCTTCACGTCTAGATGTCCCTTGTCCGTGGAGCTCTTCCTGCCGGCAACTCCTGCGGGAGCCCAAGCCGGGCTTGAGCCCCTGCCCAGCGGGGAAAGGAGCCGGCGGGCAGGGTCTCCCTGGAACGACCCCCCCACCCACCTCCCGGCACAGCCAATGGGACGCGGCCGGCTCATAAAGGGCCCCTGCATTGTGCGTGGAATGAGCCGCGGTCCGCGCGTTCCACTCCGCCGAGAGAACCTGCGGCTTAGCTGGGGTTGCCCTGCTTTGGAGCCGACTTTCTGAAGGAAAGGGAGAAATCCGGGGACGGCAAGACGCCGGGAGAGCGCCCGAGCGTGGGAACACACCGTGGGTGGCTTTAGGAAGGTTACTTGGCGCACGCGCGTGTTCCTTAGCCCCGCTTTGGTCACGATTTCTGACTCATTCCGCATCGCTTCCCTGTCTGCTTTGGTGCTCTTTAATAACGGGGGGTTTTCCCCACCCCCCACCCCCCAAAGCGGCTTAAGGCAGGTTCTCCAACCCAAGCAGTTTGCGCTCAGTTTGCTACACCTCACAGGGAAGCCATGCCTGATGCCTCCCTGCTCCATGGGATGTCTTGACCTCGGAAGGCTTGCTGGAAAAGCCTCAAGGTCTAACTGTGCAAATGGGCATGGGGGTCTCAGAGTGGCATGTGACCCCAGGCGTGGTTTGTGGCTTGAGGGCACTTTTCAGACCTCTGTAACTTTCCACCTCTGTTTTTAATACTATGTCGCTTTCCAGGGTTTTTATTTGCAAGCTGCTGAGAGTCACTTAGGCAAGGCGGAGGCAGTATAGACATTTGATGAATAGGTAAAATAAGGTAAATAAATAATGAAAAGGATCCATTCAGGCTTCAGATCTCTTGAACCGTCTGTTTCAATCCGATTCAGGACTAATAAGAGGTGATGAATCTGTGAACTCCCGAGCCTAGACTGAGCCCTCTTGCCATTCAGCAGTGGCCCTTGCTTAAGTCTGCCATCTTTTTCTGGTGCACAGATTTGTCCCACCTGTTTCAATCTATTGATTTTCTTTTAAAGGCGTGTTTCAGAAAACACTGGAGTTTGATTTTTCAACGAAAAACAGAAGTTCCTGGAGCCTGATGAGGTTTAAGCCAAGGTCTTAAGGGACGTGTGTGAACCATGCCAGATCAGGCAGAAAGACGCAGACTAAAACGAGCTGCCAACTTCTCTCTCTGGGGCCGGATCTTTCTTTGCCATCCCGTCATCCTGGCTGAACTTCACCATTCCCAGACCTCTCCAAATGTTCCATCCGGTCCATTTGGTGTGTGGGTTTCCGGAGAAATGAGAGGGGAGGGCGCACAGTGCTTCAGTGTGCTCTCTTGCTATCTCTATGGAAACCCCGGTCCTGAATGGGTTTGGACGGAGCGTTGCCATCTGTTCCGCCCCCTAATTTTAAGGGAACATGGCTCGGATGGCATCATGTCAATGTTCCTTTAATGCGCTGAGGAAACCATCTGGGCCTGTTGTCCCGTACCAAAAGAGAGGGAGAAGGGATGTGGAAAAGAGGTCCAGGGAGACATCTTGCTTGCAAATGGATGACAGAAACTTTTCTGATGAAAACTTTTTTGTTACCTTTTTTTTTTCAGGCTTCGTTTTGGGAAGGATTAACCTGGTTTCCTTAACAGAAGCATCAAGCCTTAATGCAGGCAAACATGAAGGCGCTGGTAAACATGGTTGTTATCATTAAGCCTGGGTAATTGTAGAGTCTGTATTGCCTTGTCTGCTGTTGCTTAGCCATGGCACAGAAGCCTGACTGACTGCTGCCACCACCCACTTCCTGGTTCTCATTTTAGACGGCTGAGCCAAGGGGCCCATCTCCTTGCAGCCTTTGGTAACTTGCTGCCTTCAAGATGCCATCGTTCCAGGCAGGGCAGGGAAAAGGTTTGATGGAGAGCTCATCCCAGGTGTGTGAAGGGCACCATGTAGAAAAAAGCTGCCTTATTGTGCGGTCTTGGAATGCTGCTGGCTGCTGGTTTCATTTTAGAGCGTGCTTTTGTTTTCCACTTATGAAAGCTAGACTGGGTTCGATTTAGTTTAGGAATAGCTTCTCTGTTTATCTATTCATCCATCCATCCAGTCTATCATCTTCCATCCCTCTCAGTGTTTCTCAACCTTGTGAACTTTTAAGATGGGTGGACTTCAACTTCCAGAATTCCCCAGACAGTTCTATGAATTGAAGTCAACCCATCTTGAAGTTCACAAGGTTGAGAAACACTTTGTCTGTCTGTCTGTCTGCCTGCCCCAATCAAGAGCATATTTGCAAAAGCCAGACAGTCTGAGCAGGGCTTTAGGGTAAAGGAGGCAACCTTGCTTAACGGGTTCCCTTGCTGTATTTGTGATTGGCAGAGTTTGTTTGAATTGCAGAAAAGGACCGGCCTTTGCACCATCTCAATCATGTCTTCTGTTTTGGCTTTGATTTGGCTGAACCAATGAGCTGAAGTATCCCACTTGGTCAAGTATTGCAAGCCCCACCCATTCTCCCCCTCCCCTGCAAGCTATGGTAGGTTAGTCACGACAGTTGAACAATAGGCCCCTCCTGTGTGTAGGTTTCGGGAAAGTTAGTGCTTGGTTCTGATGGAATAACTTTGCTTTATTTCACTCTGAATAAAGGGGAAATAGCTTCCCTGGGGAAAAGAGGAACTGTAATCCCAGACGAAACGTAAGCCCAGTTAAAGGGAAAAAAAACACCCTTTTCTTTTAAAAATATCTGACTTGCAGCGCCGGAGGACGTCATCCAGGAGTGAAAACTCTGACTACACCGAGAAGGAAAAGGAGATGATGGCAGAGATCGAACTGAGGAAGCTGCAGCAACAGTTCTGGATCATGGTGGAGAGCCGCAAGTCGCTCGGTTTGAAAACACAGCAACAGTTGTTCCATCAGGAGTGAGTCTGCCAGAGACGAAGCAGGAGCTGCCACAGTGGGGTGGGCACGGGTGGGCACGACCCACGTGGATAGGTGCCAACCAATCACATGTTCTGATGGCTGAGAAAAGCGAACGCAAGCTTACCTGCTCCCGTTTAAATCTGTCTAAGTCACCTTCGCACGCTGGTCGGTCGACTCCTGCTAACCGTGACTTATGTTGTAGGGCATAAACAGAATAACAGAGTCAGAAGGGACCCTAGAGGCCTTCTAGTCCAGCCTCCCGCTCAAGCAGGAGACCCTATGCCATTTTGGACAAACGGTTGTCCAGTCTCTTCTTTAAAATCTCCAGTGATGGAGCACCTACAACTTCTGGAGGCCAGCAGTTCCACGGGTGAACTGTCCTCCCTGTGAGGAAGTTTCCCCTTAATTCCAGGTTGCTTCTCTCCTGGATTCGTTTCCATCCCTTGCTTCTTGTTCTGCCTTCAGGGGCTTTGGAGAATAATTTGACACCCTGCCCCCCCCCTTCTTTGGGGCAGCCCCTCAGATATGGAAACGTTGCTACCCTGCCCCCCCGGTCCTTCTTTTCATTAAACGAGACGTACCCAATTCAAGCCCCCTCTAGCTTGGAATCCGTGGTTTAGGGTTTCACGCTTTGCCGGCCTCGCTTGGAACGCTTGTACACCTCTGGACACAGGCCTCCTTTTTCCCTTTACAGAAAACACATCCATGCCTTGAAACAAGAACACGATGAGATTAATGCGCTGCTAAGCCTCACCAACTCGCCCCGCAACCTTTTCATAGATGACCGGAACTTCATGGAGCTCAGATTCCTTCTGCAGACCAAAGACGAGTACGATGCTCTCATCAGAGCCACCAAGAATCTGATTGCAGAACTGGATGACAAGGTGCTTGGGGGAATGTGCGACTTACCAAGCGGGGCCTGTGAAGCACGATAGACAGCCTGGGAGCAAGCGAGCAGCGAGCGTGAGATTCGCAGCTCTCCTCCTCTCTGTCTCTGCTTTTGACTCCTCTGTACACTCGGCCTGCAAATCAAAACTAGTTTAGCATGCCCTAAACCTTGCGCAAACACAGTCTCCCGTTCAGAAGCTAAGAGACCCCAAACCCCCAAGGACCGCCAGCGGTAGAAAGCACATGAGGAAAATTCTGTTGCTTGGGGAATATTCTTCCTCTCTCCAGTCTCGATTTCCTTGGCTCTGTTTTTGTTGTTTGGAGCAGGAATGACTTCTTGTACTGGTAGTCCTCGACTTAGGATCACAATTGACCCCCCCCCAACTTTCTGTTGCTAAGCGAGACATCCATTAAGTGAGTTTTGTACCATTTTTTCAACCTTCCTTGCCAAAGTTGTTAAGTGAAATCACTGGAGTTGTGAAACTGCAACCGTCGTAAATATGAGTCAATTGCCAAGCATTTGAAGTTTGATTTTGCGATCATGGGGATCCGGCTATAATCAGAAGTATGAAAAACGGGCCATATGTCACTTTTTTCAGTGTCCTTGTAACTTCAAATGGTCACTAAACGAACTGCTGTAAGTCAAGGACTACCTGTACACGACTAAGCATCCAATTTTTAGAGATGATATTAGCAAATGCACTGCAGTGATTAGTCGTTTTCCTCCAACCGTTTCCTTTCAACGAATAGAAAGAGTTTTGAGATATTTCTCCCTCTGCTTTTAGATAGAAGAGGTGGAAAAAAAGATCCAAGCCCAAAAAGTTCTGATGACGAAGCTGAGGCAGGAGTACGACGGGAAGTGGCTTCAGAAGCAAATCCACAAACTGGATAACCGTCTCAATCATGTGAGTTGCCATTTGCAGGCTTGCTAACCTTCCTCTTGCTGGAGAAACCGGCCTCTGTCTCCACCTCGAGGGGAGCAGCTGAAATAAGAACCACAATGACAGCCCTTCAAAATAAACTTGAGGGGGCAGAAGAACTCCAAATTTAGAACAACCAGGTATAACCGATGCGGGTGAACATAAAATAATATGGCTTCTTTTGAGCGTTCCCCTTTGAGAAAATACATTGAAGGACTGGGACAGAGAACTCTGGCCTAACTTTGTGTAACTTCAGCATCAGTTTGTCTTTCAGGCGTTCAGACCTCTTGCTCTCCAAACCTCCCCTTTCTAAACCATTCCTACTCCGTAAGTTTGGAGGTGCCAGTAAGGAATAAAGACACGCAGGGTTGCAGAAAGAAGAAGGGAACGAGGCCTTCTGCAAATTCCACCCTCTGATCACTGTCCCCGTTGTTAGCTGCTCTTTTCCGTGACTTTGAGAAACGTCGTTAACTCTTGCTTTAGAGCCTCCTGGGTCCTTTCCTAATGTTAACCTCTGACCTCCAGGCCACGGTACATTTTGACACGATCTTGACCAGAAATGCCATGCTCCGGGAAGAAATAGAAACCCTGCAGTGCCAGAAGGCGATTTTTGAAGGCATCTACTCACGGCTTTACAAGAAGCTGGAGCAGAAAAAGAGGACCATGAACGCATCCATTGAGCAGTCAACACAAGCCTACGAGCAGAGGTGAGGAGGAGGAGGAGGAGGAGGAAGAGGTGGAAGAGGAGTGGGACGACTAAGGGCGCAACCCGCTGCTCACTTTCAGGACTGCAACTTCAACTGTTGGGGCTGAATTTGAGATTGCCCTTCTAATGGAGGGTCTCCCTGTAAACAAAAGGTTTTTTTTTAAGGTGGGATTCCTGTTTCTCTGCAATAAAATGGAAAATGTTGATTGTCGGATGACAGGAGGCGGGCAGGGCAATCTCTTATTCCAAAGTCTTCGTGGCTCCAGCCCAAATGCTCTCCGCAGATACAAAACCAATTCTATTTCAAGGAATAAGCAAACAGGTTTCCTTGCATCCTTCATTTTTCAAAACCTGCGGAGTATTAATCGTGTAGAGCAGCTTTTAAAAAGGATATTTATCCACTCCCTCTCCCTCTCCCATCTGCTTTTCTGTTTCTTATCAGAGTTGAAGCTCTGGCCAGGATCTCTGCCATAAATGAACGGCGGTCCAAGGATATCGCCCAGTTCAACGTAGAGTTTCGGGAGCTGGAGCGGATCTACAACCACGAGACCAAGCTGAAGGCCTTCATGCTCATCAAACTGGTGGATCGCTGTGAAATCGAGGAACAGGCCAAAAAGGAAGAAGGTACCGTTTGGTCACTCGATTCATGCCAATGTAAGTGGGGGGGGGGGTGTTATGCTATCTGAGGCAAGAAGAAAAGGCCCCTCATACGTTGGATCTTCCCAAACTAGGATTGAAAAACCCAGCAACGCAATATTTCCCATTCCCGAGAGCCTGTTTGGTGTCGTAGCGAAGGCACCAGGCTAGAAACCAGGAGACCAGGAGTTCTAGTCCTACCAGGGACTTTTCAAGCCAGTTGCCAGTAATCAACAATGACTCAAAAGCACTCACACACACACACACACACACACACACACACACAGTGTTAGCATGTGCTGCCTGGTGTTGCAAGTGATGAACTTTTGAGCAATCATGCTATCCACACACCTATGCAGAGGGTTCTATAAACACACAGATATGAAAGCTATTAATAATTTGTACAGCACCACTTTAATTGGATGTGTGTGTGCGTACACCTAGTAATAACAACCCCGGTGGGCATTCTCTTGGCTGGGTGGTCAGTTGTTCTGTAGGGGAACCTGCCCAACTGGCCCCCTATATCCTAAAGAGCCAGCCCAACTTTCTCTCAGCGGTCAAGGCCAGGAAGCGGGCCAAGTCGAAAGGGGAGAGCTTCGAGAGCTACGAGGTGGCCTACATGCGGCTGCTGAAGCTGACGGAAAACGGGGACATTGAGCAGCTGGTGGAGGACTACCTGGAGAAGGAAGGGAAAAACTTCGCCTACTTCAGCTACGTCACCGAACTGAACAATGACATGGAGAGGCTGCAGAAGAGGATTGAGATGGTCCAGGTGGGCTCTGTCCTTCTTCTCCTCTGGGCAGCTTGGTTGGTCCTTGGGGTCTTGAGTCCCCAAGGGTGTTTCCACCCCCACCCCACCCCCGCCCAAGGGGCAGCTGGACTTTCTGGGTGTTTTTTTGTTTCTTTGAAGATGTTTCGCTTCCCATCCAAGAAGCTGCTTCTGCTCTGACTTGAAGGAGAAGCGAAACGTCTTCAAAGAAAGAAAAAAAAACACCACCCAGAAAGTCCAGCTGCCTCTTGGAAAACGCACCTTGGGGACAACCGTGAGCTGGAGGGCTGATCCTCTCCCTAGTCAGGGCCTTCAGCTTCTGCTGCCCTCCAGCTCTTCTGCACCTCAGGGATCCCCCTTCCGATAAGGGTGAAGGGCCACTTTTTAAAAGCGAAGCCTTTTCTCAGAGGCAAACCAGGCCGCTTGGGGAGAGACCGCAGCGAAATCCACCTGGCTTGATTCTCCGGAAATCGCTCGGGAAGCTTTCCTATAAATCGGAATTCCGCTCTCTGATGACAAGGGTTTGAGGGTTAGGAAGTTGGTTGAGCCCCTGGGAGGTTTGTTTGGTTTTTTCCCCCTTTCCTTTCCTTTCCTTTCCTTTCCTTTCCTTTCCTTTCCTTTCCTTTCCTTTCCTTTCCTTTCCTTTTCTCTTTTCTTTCTTTTTCTTTCTTTCTTTCTTTCTTTCTTTCTTTCTTTCTTTCTTTCTTTCTTTCTTTCTTTCTTTCTTTCTTCCTTCCTTCCTTCCTTCCTTCCTTCCTTCCTCTTTCTTTCTTTCTTTCTTTCTTTCTTTCTTTCTTTCTTTCTTTCTTTCTTTCTTTCTTTCTTTCTTTCTTTCTTTCTTTCTTTCTGGGGGTGTTTTTATCTGAGCATGCTTACCCCTGTTCTCCTTTCACCTTTTTTTAAACCCTCTCTCATTATGTAAAACTGGCCAGGGTCACTTGAGAATCAAGCAGCCTTCCAAGTTAAATAAATAAAGAGGCACCCTCTGAACCTGCTGCTTTTTGGAAATATACGTAGCAAACTCATACGTGGCCTGAAGGCCAAAATGATGCATTTCTGAACTTTGTAGAACGAAATCAGCCATCTGAAATCCCAGCAGAAAGCAGCTGAAGATATAATTCATGGCAATATGAAAGGCATGGAGGTATGTAATAGAACTGGTGTGTGTGTGTGTGTGAGAGAGAGAGAGAGAGAGAGAGAGAGGGAATGGGGGGGGGAGAGACTAGGGCAGTGTCCCCTGTCCCTTATTTATAAAAGAAAATGATTCTTCAGGGTGGGAATCGGTTGGGCTTAGCTTGGGGGCTGGGGGGGCCTTGGTAATACTTTTACTTTCGCGGTCCCTCTAGCCCCATCAGCCCCCTTTTCTGCCCACAGGAGCAGCTGCAGAAGACCACCGAAAAGATCAATCTCTACGCCTACAACCTGAAAGAGACCAGCAAAATCTTGGACCAGCTGAAATCCTCCCTGGACTTCCTGTTCCAGAAGATCGGCTGCGATGCCACCAAGATCATGCAGCATCTGGGCGAGACGGGGGAGATCACGGATCAGAACTTGATGCAGTATTTCAGTGAGTGGCCTGGGTAGCACGCTGAGCTGATCGCCTGGGGGCGGGGGGGTTTCCCTAGAGAGCCTTAGGGGCTCCCTGCGTGTAGGTGTGCCAAGCTAGGAGCGGCAATCATACAAACTGGCCTCGGGAACCTTCCATAAGAGCCCGTCTTCGGCCAGGTAAAGCCTTCTAGCATATTTCCTCATTTGTCTGAGACTTTCCATTTGGGATTTCTCTCCTCTGATTAGAGTGTTTCCCAGCCTTGAGAGCTATAAGATGTGTGGAATTCTGGGAGTTGAAGTCTCCACACTTCTTAAAGTTCCCAGGGTCGGGAAACACTGTCTTATAGCTTGTGTAGTCTTCGTACGTCAGGTTTTAATGAGAAATTCCCCTTTTAATCCAATGAAACCAAATTTATCAGTATCGAACCGAGTTTATTGGGAAAACCTGATCTAAAAACTGCCCGTTTTTTTTGCGCATTGTGTGAGGTGTGTGAAGCACCGCTCCCTCCCTCCCCGCCTCGGGGTTCCCTTTGCTTCTCTCCTCTCGGCAGGCATTCTCGAAAAGAAAAGCAATGACCTTTTGCTGGTGGAATCCTTCCTGCGCTACAAGGAAGTCGAAGGGGAGCTGGACACGGTGCCAATGCTGAATCCCTTTTTGGGCGGGAGTGCTCTGCTGAAGAAAATGGACACCGTTAAAGTGGCTCCACCTTCTCTCAGCGTGGATCCCTTTGCAGACACGGCAGAGCCTAGTAAGTAACTGCAGGAAGAAGAAGAAGAAACGGCCGTGCAGAATTTGGAGCCGGCAAGAACGAGGCTCTGGCTATTGAAGTCTGGCTTGGAAGTTCTTAGAAGAAGGGCAAAGAGAATTCCCTCATGCTTTCTTCCCTGAGTTTTCCCAAAGACATTTCAAGAAAAACCAAATCAATCAGTAAAAGAGACTAAGAGTGGGGAGAACACAACAAGCTGGTGTTGTGTTCATGCTGTGTAAATAGGGTGGTTCAATGAAACTGTGATTTTAAAAAGAAAGAAACCGCCTGGTCTCCAAACTATAACCCCGTTGAACTTCTCATTCCTTTCCCAACAGCAGAACCGCTGGACCACGATAACCTGCGGGCCCTGGTCTTGGGGAACCAGGAGAAGGAAAAAGCCAGAAGCAATTCCCCCACGGAACGATTGGAGAGTGGCAAAGATAAAAAGAAAGCGTCACCCGTATAGAAGCTAAGATAGAAACGAGCGGCAGGATGAGGAACCGTTTTTCTTCATCGGCTGCTTTCATATATTTTAGATTCATGTATCTACTTTTACATATACATATATATATATATACACACACAGTACAGAATGGGATATCGAGATGGATTTTCTTTGCATAGGATAAAAAAGTATTCACAAAGAAAGCATTTGTCTCTCGAATTTCCACAGCTTGCTGTCGTGCTTGCAGTCATGTTTTTGGTTTCCCTGAATTTCTCTCTTTTTTAAAAAAATATACCCTCAAATATCTAATGGGATCTCTCCCATCGTCCTCCAGCCATCAAAGTTTGGAAAGACAGAAGTGAAAGTTCAACGCAACCAGAGAATCTCACTTTGATGAGGGCTGCATTCATGCTGCATCAGGTTTTTGTTTTACTATTGTGGAAGTTAAACCATTTTCTCGCCTCTTTTCCAGGACAACAAATTCCTTGGATGTACTTTTATGGAAGGCATCCTCTGTTCTGACAAAGATGCTGCAGAGCACTTAAAATGACTCCCACAGTGTCAGCATTTCCCCCCCCCCTCTATTACCCTGTAAAGGAGATTCTCCTCCTTGCCCTTGAAACACCTGACACAGGTATCGATTCTGTTGTTGTTATATTTTTACTGTGCGGCTGTTGCAGAGTGGAGCCATTTCCCTGGTTTGGCAGGTTCTATTAGCCAAAGAAGATTAAGGGATATGTGTCTGGCACCTCGTTTTTTTCCAATAAAAAGAGGAAGGCCCCAAGAAGAAAAGAGGTGAAGCACCTGTCATGGAATCCACGAGCTCCACTTCATTCTTGAACTAATGTTCGTTAACCCTCATGTTGATCCTCATCAGCACAGGTGCAGAATCTTCTAAACAAGCCACCTGATGGCTCAGTGTTGACCAAGCTTTGTCTTACGTTCGTCATAGGGCTGATATTTTATATGGGTGTGGCTCCATTATAACCGAGTTATGTATCAGATCTGAAGCCTTCCTAATTTTCTTATTTTTTACATCTTAAAAAAACAGAAAACCGTCTCAATAAGACATTTTAAGACGTGAACGGAAACGTCCTTCGGTCTATGCCTTTCAAGGTGTGGAGTGACTGAAGTAGGATCATGATTTGGATTTATCCAAGAATGGTGCGCGCTTTTTTAGATACCAGACAATTTTACTATTTATAGCCCACTGTGAATGAGCTGTGTTATCTCACAGCATGTTAACAGAGAGCAAATGCCATACCATAAGGATTGCACCTGGTGTAGTTCTTGAAAAACCTGGGAGTTGTAATCCCAATATAGCTGGAGCATTTCAGGTTGGCCGGCTCCCAAAGCTAGTAGACGTTGGAAATTTGGTTTTGCAATCCTGGACGCTCAACACAAACTGTGCAGCCGCTAGCTTTGGATGTGTCTCAAGCTATGTTAGGTTAGCCTGCCTGTTACAGCTGACTTCATGACCAGCTCCTTGGAAAGAGCAGGTGATGGACAACTCTACGTGCACCCAGAAGGACAATCGTGTGGTTCCAGCCATGTGCTTCCATTGGGTAAGAGATTCACTCTAGTGTAGCAGCTGACATAGCGGGGAACTGGGAGGGAAAAAGATCCTGGGCTCACATTTCCACGATCAGCAGGAGCTGAGATGTGCCTATTGACCTTTTCAAGGGGTTGCTCTGAGGAGAGAAAGGAATAGAAATGCAACTCTACGGAGGGAAATTAAGAGAGATAGCAGGTGGGTAAATCAATAGAGCTGTGGGGGCGCAGTGGTTAGAATGCAGTATTGCAGGCGAACTCTGCATTCCCACTGCCAGGAGTTTGATCCTGACTGTCTCAAGGTTGCCTCAGCCTCCCGTCCTTCCGAGTTGGGTAAAATGAGGACCCAGATTGTTGGGGGGCAAGAGGCTGGCTCTGTAAACGGCTTAGAGAGGGTGGCAAAGCACTATGAAGCGGTATATAAGTCTAAGTGGTATTGCTATTGCTCTAATAGGTAGGAAGCCTCCATTGATATGCCCTGGTGAAAATGGTTGCCTTGTTCCAACAATAGGATTACTTAGCTGCTTTTAGAAGATCCACACCTGGCATATTTTTCTCTGCTTTGGTATGTTGCTCCTGAGTGATCCAAAGAGGAAGCCCCTAGGGGGACAGCATCACACATGGACTGGGACCTAAACTTTGTGAGCAAACCCAAATAACATCATCAGGCCAAAATTTTTTGGAGTCATGCCTTCCTCCAGTTGAACATCAAACAAGATGCCTTTGCCAATGTTCATGCTTTTCTCTTTCAAGATGTGGGGTTATTGGGTTGTGCAGTGTGTGTTTGTGTGCTGTCTTTTATCCATTTCTAAGCTGGAATCTTGCCTTCCTCTCACCCAACCTGAGCATGACTGGTTCAGGAATTCTGGGAGTTGAAGTCCAGCGGTCATATAGTAATCATGGTTCCCTACTCCTGCTCTTCAGAAATGGAAAAAGCAGAAGGGGCAAACTTGTGGTCCTGTTGGTGAAGCCTCAGCTCTGCCTACTGTTGTTGGACAGCCTCTTAGCGTGTGCTAAGTGAGAAACGCACCCTGCTCTGGGGTCAGAAAAGAAACACGGCTTGCCGTGAGTTCAGCTTATTCCACTCCCTCATCCATAATAATTCTTCAAGGGCTGCGCAGATTTTTCTGAATAATTCAATACAAAGGCAATTTTAGAAATAGGTTTCTCCAGACATGGCTGCATTCTTTCTACAGATAGGACAGACAAAGGGCTGGGACTGCCAAGAGGATGACAACAGACAGAGAAGACACAACAGCCCAGCTTAGCTGGCCAGAGAATGTATCACTTCTGTCATCACGCCGAGTGGCCTCCCACCATTTCTTAATCTTTTTCTTCTCCGTGTGTGATGATGTGCACCAAATTCTTATAGTCAAGGTTGCCAGTTACATCTGGGGGGAAGGCTGCAAACATTTGCTCTACCTGGAAGAACAAAGAAGCCGGAACAATTTCCTCTTGAGTTTTAATACCTCAGTGGCTCTTTGGTAAAATTGCATATCTTCATTTTGAAGACAGTCCAACGGGCTGTACTCCTGAATTGCATTCCCAAGAAAGGCTATCGAATGATTCAGAAATTTATCTTACCTCCTCCTTTGAAAACCGTTCTCCTTGCGTCATGAGCATCTCTTTAATGCTGGAAAATAAAAACCCGGATTAGATGCAAAGGAATATCCGTCTCCATTCCACCCATTACTCCACGTGAAAAATAGAAGTGATAGCTTCCTTATTTCTGAAATCCAGGCTGGAGCCCATGGGGACAAAAAGCTGTTAATTGCTTTTACGAGAGGCAGCCAGGATGATTGTACGTTTGCATCACGGCAGATTCTCCAAAGAGGGGTGATGCTAAATCTATTCTTACTAAGGGGGTGAGAAGAAAGGGATGAAGAGAGGCAGAAAGGGACCCAGGGATCTTCTGACCATTTTAAGTGGAGAAGCTCCGGAGATACTTACTAGCTTGCCTTTAAGCCTTTGCCTTCCGGATCAAAGACTTTGAATGCATTCAGGATGGTTTCCTCTGGATCTGCTCCTGGAAAGTTGAAAGGAAATAAAAGGCGGGTGGGAGAGGAGGCGGAGAGGAAGTCTGAGACAGCTGAACACTTCGTAAAAGTGGTCCTTCTTGCAAAGTTTGTGGGAAGGCTGAGGCTACACGGAAAATAAACGGGCAGGTGAACTGGAATGAAACCCTCCTGGAGCCACACAAGGAAGCTCTCCAGGAGAACTGGGAGTCCAGCACATGACCTTAAATGTTGGATTGCTTGTTTCTTTGTTTTTTTTTATCCTGTTGCGAAGTGACTCTGGGCAGCTTACAACATATTAGACCCGTGACACTCTCGGCACATTCTTGGACGTTCTAGTCTTGATTTTACTTTTAATCTGCTTTGACTTTCTCCTTACAATTGTAGTTTCTTCTTTCCCAGGTTGGTTGGTTATATATCAAGGGTGTGCCCATATATGTGTCTGTATGGGTGGGTGCCTAAACATCTCACCAAGGGTGCTCACTGCTTGCAACCGAATCATAGCCTTCAATCTTACCTTTAAGCTTTTCTCCAAACATTGTCAAGAACACGGTGAAGTTGATTGGTCCAGGAGCTTCTTTGATCATGTCATCGAGCTCTTCATTTTTGACATTCAGACGCCCTAAAGGGAGCAAAACCAAACCAGGCATAATCCCTCAGCAGGGAACGGAAGGAATCCCCCTGAAACTACTGAAAGACCTATGGCGATTGTGCTAGGCGCAGCTATTTTGAGGCAATGCGTGGATGACCTTGAGGGTGTGGATCTGTGGATGACCTTGAGGATGAGGGGAAGATCAGAGAAGAAAGGGAGGCCCCTCCAGTGGTCAGAGGAACAAACTTAGCAAGAACCTCCCCTTATGAATCAAGCCATTAAAAGTGATGGGAGGAAGTTTTGGACTTTCAGACTTGGAAAGTTCTGTTAATGTAGCCTTACACTAAAGTAGAATCAGCTCATCTAGTGGTGTTTCCTTGTCTGCTTTACCTGAGAGGCCTGACAAGCAAGCAGCAGACAAGTAGCATCCCTCCCATCCCTGGAAGAATGGAGAATTTTCTTACATTTATTGCCAACATTGTAAAAATTGAGAAATTCTGAGATGCCCGGTCGTTCATACCAGCTTCCTTTGGCTTGGAAATATATAAATCATCTTGACCTAGAGCGCTGTTAAAACTGGGGACTGTCCGTTCTATTTCAAGCCAGAGTTCTGGATTTCTCTATTTCTTATTTCTCGTGCTCTACATCTTGATATTAACATTTTGGGCAGTGGAAAAGGAACGACAATCGAAACACTTTTTTCCTCAATGGGGTCCTATATCAATTACTCATAGGCCGCTGATGGATTTCATAACGTAAAGGCGTTTCTTGGCTTACCTAGTGCTGCGAACGTATCTCTCAGATCCGCTTTGTCGATGAAACCATCGCGGTTCTGATCCATGATGGTGAAAGCCTGTTAAGGGAGAAACCGCATGTCTGGTATGGAGCGGCATGTACGAAGGGCCTCGCCTCGCTGTCAGATCGGCCACTCCCAGCTGTCTTCACCCAGAAGTGTGTGCCCAGCCTTTCAAATGGCTCTTTTGAG